CTATGATTCTAACTCTCTTCCCTGTACTATTAAAAGCAAAGTTCAGGCAGTTTTCAGGTGGTGTGTCTGCAGAAGTACTCCGCTCACTGACTAAAGCAGGTCTACCTCTTGGGTTCATCAACAAAAGGAAACTTCCATGTAATTGACTACCGAAGCCATTGCAAATGCTGAATACAAATTCAAGTTACAATCCATGCAGAAAGAGAATCTTCAAATAACAGAGACCTCCAATGATAGTAAAGACTGATCTCATTTCATCTTAAATAGCAATTTTTACCCTGACTTTTAAATCTCTTAAATCCATATTTTGGCTATTAACTTTATTGCCTATGTGACTAGCCGAATTAGTTGCATAATAAATTAAGTTTTTAAACTTGCTTAAAATATAAACCTGCAGTGTTGCTTGTTTTTGAATTGAAACCCTCCAACCGCATGGGGGCTACGTATCACCTCGTATAGTTTTTGTCTGCAGACAGTTCTTGAGGACCTGCCTGGGAGTGTGGTCATAACAAAGTACTTCAGTTCATAGATTTTACCTGGAATGTGTAACTGTGACTAGCTAATAGAGTTGGTGCAGACATGATGGGCCAAATGGTGTCCTTCTACACCATAATAATTCTGTTATGCAGAAATATTTGGGGGAGATAGATAAAAATGATTTTAAGACCAGAAACTTGGAAGGGATATATGCTGACTAGATGTGCTTTTAAAGGTGGTGGAGAAGACCACTTAAAGGTTTTTTTCATCCTTAGTTTTTGCCTTTGTTTCATTTTGCGCCTTCAGTAACGTGCTTATAATATCAGGTCCTTGGGTAGCTCAGTGAGAAGCAAGCTTCAGACACTCTTGTTTACGTCGGTCAGCCAGGACCCCCTGATCGTACCAGATTAACAACCCTAATCAGGAAATTCATATCCTGAGGTCCACCTGCTGACCTCATTACAGCCACTACAGTCCAGAGACATGAATCAATTGCAGATTGCAACATGGTAGTGAACCTCCTTATATTCAAAGTGGTGTATATGTTGACTTGTGGATGGCAACATTTATTATAATCCTGGCATCGATCAGGTGATATTGCAGAATGATTTGCCATTTGCTAAATCTAATTTGTTTCAGGTACTGTTTGATCATCAATCAGATGCATCCTGCTTAATTCTAAAAGTAAACCTGGTTAAACGTAATGATGCCATTAGGATTTCAGGCTAAAATATTTCAAATCACACTTGTTTGAGAAAATTTCTAGTCAGTCTGTTTGGACATGTTTTTGTACATTTCAACAGCAGGTGAGACTTGAACTTGGACCTTCTGACCAGAAATAGAAACCCTACTATTATGCCACAAAATCCCTAACCACCTTTTTATGCAATTTTAACTGTAGAAGACATTAGTTAGCTCTGTAACTGGTTCCACTTTGTCGAGGTGTGTCATACTATTTATCAAGTGAAACTTAGGAGCTTATATTTTATTGTTTATTTGCAAGTATTTATTATTATTTATTACTTTTGTGTTTTTACCATGACAAATATTGTTCAACCAAACCCAGCCACAATTCTTTACCTAAGCCTGGAAGCTACAAATATAGTGAGAAACAATGCAATTTCCAATTTTGATGTTGCAGACTTGTTCGCCGCAACCTGAGCTACAAACCTATAACTTTAAATTTTCCAATTTTGCTGCACTTTTTAATTGCCCTTACTAACATTGACAGCAGGATAATCTTTAACTAATTAACATTATGTGAAGTTGAATAGGAAATAAGAGAACAATGACTGGAAAAAGAACTGTTGCTATTTTCTAAGTTTTAGGGTAAATCATGTTCCACAGACAGACAAATCTGCCAGGTGCTCACACTGCTGTTAAAAATCATTGCTCTTGCTATTGTGTTTTTTTTAATGTTTATGTTTAAAAGAAATCGTAAAAGCAGGAAATTGGCCTTTCAAGCTCATGGTTGATCTTTTTCCTCAAGACACTTTTCTGCATTAAACCCTATTCCTCAATCCCTTAAGATCTAAAGATCTGTTGACCTCTGGCTTGAATGTACTCAATCATTGAGCATCCACGATGTTTTGACATGAAGGGTGAAGAAATTTCTCACCTAAAGTTAAATGGCCAACTACTAATTTTGAAACTGTGGCCTTAATTCAAGACACCCCAGGCAATTGAGTATGTTTCCAGCATTTAACTTGTTAGATTGCTTAAAATTTACATTTCAGTGAGATCTTCTTTCCTGTCCAACCTGCTTTTGTGCAATGCTAAGTGTGTGTATCTAGTAGATAGCTTGCTAACTCCAGAATCTTAAAACTGAAAAGACTGCAGATGCTATAAATTAGAAACAAAACAGAAATTGCTGGAAAAGCTCAGCAGGTCTGGCAGCATCTGTGGAGTTCTGAGGAGGGTCACTTGACCTATAACATTGACTTTGATTTCTGTCCACAGATGCTGCCAGACCTGCTGAGCTTTTCCAGCAATTTCTGTTTTTGCTCCAGAGTTTGAATTCTGTCAATGCAGCCAACTTAATGATGCGATGGTAAGATATGGTAGCTGATGACCTTCAGCTATCACACTGTAATACATTAGGTCTCATGACATAAATATGACAAGGATCATGTAAAACTGAAGAATTCATTGAATTATTATTACAAATACTTGGTCTCTACATGCACACTACAGTCGCAGGCACCAGTGTTACTGGCCTTAAGCCAAAGAATTCAGATGTACTATAGCATGCTTCCTTCAATCTATCATGCTGTAAGGGCACAAACCTTCATACCAATGCATCAGTTGACATGGTGATGCCATCATGAGTTTGTCCTATAAAGTGTGTTGTATATTTGCTGCGAGACAGAACACAATTCCAAACAGGTATACATAGTTGTACACTGTTGAACCGACAACAGATGCCAGTGAATTGGACATGTAAGAACAGAGTTAACAAGATTAGTAATTCAAACTTTGATATAAATGTTTTGAAGGTTTGACAGTTTGTCCTGATCTGGTGACAATATACACAACTAGAGAGATGCACAGTATTCATGGCTGATGCCCTGGTGGTCTTGCTGCTGGTTACTGTCACTCAGGATCAATGCACAGTCACGGTCATTGGAGTTTTGTTCTTCACACACTGTGCATGGTTAGCATACCAAACCTTATACCGAGCTATCTTCACCACCTTCGCAATGTAGTATCATGATCAGTAACGACCATATATTACCTGAGCTGGTTGCACATCTTGGAAATCTTGTGGGTTTCCAGGTGTTTGTAACCGGATTTCTGGCACTGATTCTGTCTGGTGAGTAATTGTTAGGTTTTTTACCTGCTCAGTGCTGGTGTCTCTGTTTCATTCTCCTGTCTTTGAAGTGGGAAGTCCTGTGGCTCTGTAATTTTCACCACCATAGGTGTGGTTGGAATCTTGTGAATGGTTTTGAAGCTGAGATCTGTGTATACTGGTGGACCTGCTACTGTTGGCCCATTGGATCCCTGAAATTTTCTACCAAGCTAAATTTGCACATTGACACTGCCGCAGATTGTGCCGCTGCTTGGGGTTGCTCCATTGTATGCTTTTGAAATGGTCTTCGGCTGTCCTATGGAGTGCTACGAGTTGGAGTACATAGTTTTCTGATTATCAATATAATGTATGAAGTTGACAATATGAAAGGCTTGGTCATCTTTCGAAGGTAGTTTTTCAGTTTATTGGCTGTTCACATCATATGTTTGGATGATTTTGTGCTGCCAGTGTTACGATATTTTACAACCTTGTTGGGCTGGCTTGGCTTTTGAAACCAAACCTTCTATGTATGCATGACCAATGTCCTTTGGTGCCACCAGCTTTGCAGATATGCGGAAGTGCTAGGTAACTTATGGATAGATGCAACAAACCATATATTTTGCACTGTCTAACATTAGACTGCAATAGTGTAGTTCTGATTGCTACTAATGATGAAATATTCTAAAATAGATTAGAAGACCTGAGCATGCGTAGCACTTGCTGTATTCAAGGGTCAGAGTCCCTTGCTAATTAGACTGTTATTTATTTTTTGTTGATTATATATTGCTAATTCAAGGCTTTGTTTAATTTTAAAATTCATCTTTTTGAAAAAAGGAACTCAAATTAGACTGTTGAAAAAAGTACAAGCTTTCATCTTTTGACTGGTATTTCATACTGGTGCGTGACTAGGACATTCGTATTGTCTAGTTGCTTAATAGAACACATGAGATTTGTTCTTGCTTACAATTGTCCACTCTTGTTTTCTCTTAAACCACTAAGTTAGGTGAGGATCAAGACTTCCCAATAGACTGTGAAGTTTACCAAATATCCAAAATTCATGCACCTGCTAAACCTATAACAAGTGTCAGTGTAATCTATACTTAATCACAGAGCAATTACTTTTCCTTCTTCAGATGCTCACTTGTAAAAATTTAAAATTACTCAACTGAACTTTGTAAGTTTTACATCTAGTTTATCTCCAATAATTTGAAAATTAACCAAATTGAGGGAAGCAGGTTAGCATGTTTAATTCTAACTTTTGCATCCTGTTGTAGGGCTTCAAGTTCTCACCATTATAGTTATCCAATGCCCAACTCCTTGTGCCAATAAGTAGTAACTTACTATTCTAGGTATGCGAAATGTATGGCTTCTGAAAATAAAGCAGCTGTCATGCTGGTGATCAGAATTAGCTTCCTACACCAAAGTGTTCCAGCATCCAATGATGTGGAAAATTTCCCAGGACTGTTCTATCCACAAGAAATGTACCTTATATACCCATGTAAAAGTCAAAGTTTTTAGATACTACTTTTGAGGGACTGAAATTCATGCTACAGTCCAAAATACCATATCTTTAGCAGAAGCCCAATTGATCTCTAAATGAATAAAGAAAAAAAAAGCAACGAATTACAGTAATTACCAGATAAAGACAGTAGAAACAAAAATGAATTAGTAAGCTTTCATTTATACATACAAAAAAAGTATAATTATAGCTTTAAATTACAATTACATAGTACATCTTAAACATGTGAAATACAAAATTCATTGAAATCCTGTAATATCTTAGAGTTCAGCAGGCAGGTTTTGTGCAAATCTTTGTTCTCTGCCAAAGTACTAAGTCATGCCTTCTCATGGACCTTGTGCACCATCCAGCACTTGAAATCCAAAATTTCATCCTTCTTTGATTCATTTAGTGCACGGATTCAAATGGCTTTACAACTAACACGTTTTCCATTTTGGCTATTTTCAAGTACCTACTCAACATTTTTTCTCCAGTTGTGGCCACTTGCTGGGATTACCTGTGTTGGGACACTTTTGTTTTGTCTGAAGAAGAAGTTGGCTTGATATCTTTCTCAAGTTTCTGCGAAACCCACAATTCTCTTGCTGCTGCATAGTTATTTCCCTCTGTACAAGTTTAATAATTTTCAGTTTAAATGCTGCTATAGATTGTGTATTTTCTGGGGTGCATTTTTACACAAAATGATTTCAAAACCTCAGCTAGGTATATGACTGTATTCCACGAGTGCCCGGCTCTGACCAGATGCATTTTAAACTTCTGCGCCACATTCTTCCATTTCCCTCATCTTCTCTCATCTATTGTCTTAGTTTTTCAAACTGACATTTTAAGCTTTTATTTCTGATTAAAAAGTTCAGACATTTGACTCTCGTACAGTCTCAATCATTTCCTGAACGTAACATTTATGTACAGGATAATACCTTGACTCTCAAATGTTGATCTGTTGTTATCTGTGAAGAACTAGGTTCGACTTTACGAGATGTGTGGAAAATTCCAGATTTTTTGGCCAAAACTAGGGGGTCAACTTTTACATGAGATAGACTTTTACTTGCATACATACAGTAAAGCTTATCTAGCCACTTAGCACCCATAAGCCTTTTCACAATCATCAGTAATATGAAGAAAAGATTAATGAATAGTTTCGTAAGGCAACATTTACCTACCTGTAAACTGCATTCGTATGTATGGATTTTGACAAAACTGTTCAGTCATCTTTAGCTGCTTCACCAATCGTCTTTCTTTTATCATAACGTGAAAAAGAATGCTATTTGTTCACAATTTCAGATTGTTCAGGTGTGTTGACAACTTGTCTAATGGTGAATTTGTCTATGTCAGCCTACAAGTAGAACATCCATGCTCCAGCTGGCAAATAGTATTCATATTATGCAAGTGCCAGATAAGAGAAATTCTAGCCATATCCATTGATATTCGACAGCTACATTATGGCTGAACCATCACTATCAATATCTTGAGGGTTTCTACTAATTTGAAACTTAACTGGGCTGACTTTATCAACAATGTAGCCAGGAGAATAAAGATGATGTTGGACACTATAACAATTAGTTCATCTCCTGACTCAAAGCTTTTTTTGTCACTCAGCTGGATGGATGCAGATACAACACTCAAGCAGCTTGATCCCATCCAGATAAAAGCAGTCTACTTGACCAGTGCTTCTGCCAGTGAATTCAATATCCAACTCCTCCATCTGTGCTGTGACTATGATATGACAATTCTTTTGGATACTCCACAGCAACTTGTAACCCTTGCTTTGACAGCATCTCACAGCTCTCCGGTCTCTTAAGGAGAAGAGCAGCAACATCATACAAACACTATCCCCTGCATGCTTTTCTCCCTGTTGTTCAACATCCTAACTTGGATATCCATCACTGCTTCTTCACTATAATTTTAATTTTTAATCTAATACCAATATAGTTATAAGGACTACACCAGTTTAAGGGTACTTTGGGATGGTGAGCACATGTGATCTTGTCAGAATTGGCCACACGTGATGAATCATTTTTTTAAAAAAGTCAGCCTTTTCCAAATAGGTCAGCATATATTTTCGAATGTCAGTCTTTCCTAGTGATACTCCACAGAAAAGTTTGAAAATCGCTTTTTTGTGATGCTTGGGTTTGAGGAATTTGGATTTCTGTTTTAAAGAAGAAAACAAAATCCACATAAGTAAACGTAAACACAAGTAGCTAGATGCCTCTAGTTTGTATAAGATGGGTTTTACAACATATAATTATTACGTATAGATTATTTTCATCAGATTGAACACAATTTGGAATTGTTCCCAAATATGTTTATGTCATTTTTACTGCCAGCTTGTTAGTGCAAGAAGTAGGAAGTGTTACCTGGTGACATTTTTCTTCTCAATTGCAAATCAATTACTCATTTTCCTTTTACTGCATCTATATTTTATCTCCCATGGATCTGCTCAATCAGATCATTAATCATAGGTATGAACCTCCTAACATTCATGGTTGACCAACAGGAAATGTATTTCTGTAGAAACGCAATTGGTTTATTCCGAATTCAACTGGACATTACACCAATTATCTAGATTGACTCTATAACTAAATCTCAATGTCTGTCATGCAGCAGAGACAGACCCTTCGGTCCAACAAGTCCATGCCGAAAATAATCCTAAACTAAACTAGTCCCACCTGCCCGCTCGTGGCCCATATTCCTCCAAACCTTTCCTATTCATATATCCATCCAAAATGTCTTTTAAACATTGTAATTGTACCCACATCCACCACTTCATCAGGAAGTTCATCCCACATGCAAACCACCATCTTAAAACAAAAAAAATTGCCTCCTGTGTTTAAATCTCTGTCCTCTCACCTTAAAAATGTGCCCCCAATCTTGAAATTCCTCATCTTGGGGAAAAGACAACCACCATCAATTCTATCTATACCTCTCATTTATTTTATAAACTTCTGTCAGGTCACCTCAACCCCATACACTCCAGCAAAAAACATCCCAGGCTATCCAGCCTTTCCTAGCCAGCAACATCCTGGCGAATGTCTTCTCAACCCTCTCCAGCTTGATAATATCCTTCCTATAACTGGGCGATTGGAACTGGACACAGTATTCCAGAAGAGGTCTCAAGCCTAGTTCAATGATCATAAAAACACAAAGAACATAGAAAGTAGGAGCAGGAGTAGGCCATTCAGTCCTGTGAACCTGCTCTGCCATTCGGTATGATAGTGGCTGATCATCCAACTCAGCGTACTGTTCCTGCTTTCTCCCATACCCTTTGATCCCTTTACACTGGCACTTTGTATTACTGTTATAGGGACACTTTGCACACCACGTCAATCACTTAGCTCACAGACTGGACCGTCTGCTTGCTCACTTTCTCAGGACACACTCGCTTTGCCAGAGGAAACACACTGCATGCACATCAACAAAATGGCCATTTCTCACAGTTGAAGCATTGTCATCCTCCATTATGTCCAGATTGATGCGTTGGTGGTTCTCTTTCAATATTTTATAGACTTCAGCTATTCTCCATTCCATAGGAATTATTCCAATGTAATCTCACTATTAAAAAAAGTAGAAAGACACAGGGAATTGTACACTGGTTAGCTGACATTAATAGTGGGATAATGGTAGAGTCCATTATAAAAGATTAAATAGCCAAGCACTTGGATATGGTGAGAAGATCAGACAGAGTCAGCATGGATTTATGCAAGGGAAATCATGTTTAATTAGTCTACTGGAATTTTTCAAGACTGTTGTTATTGGAGACAGACAGACCTACCAAATCAGCCTTTCTACTTCTGTATTCACAACACTGTAAAATTAAACTGAAGTCACACAATAATTACTCCAGTACTCTAACTAGTCTTTTGAATAAAAATCCCAGGCTTTGCAGATAATTAATTCCCAGACACCAGTTTTGAATCTTAAGCAAGACAGCAATTTTTAAAAACTAATAACAATAAATTTAGCAGAGGAAATTTTAAACAACAAGGTAAACTGATGCTTTAAATCCAAAGCCCTTGTTTTCAGACCTCATTCACAGACAGACAAACACAATTAAAGGATAAATAAGAAAAAAAATAACAAAACTGGCCTGATTACTTTAATGGCCTTTGTGATGCTTTGTTTCACAGACTTTAATGTGGATTCCTTGGTTGCTTTTCTGGAACTGCAGATTAGCATCACCATCTCAGTTCACTCAGTGTAGGTAGTAACACTTTACACTCAGCTGTCTATTCTTTGGAGTTCTGGAAGCTAATGTGGGAGATCAGGCAGGGAGCTTTTAAATCTTCATGCAATGTTGTCAGCAGCCAAACTTGTTTTCTGAGAAAACATAGTTCAACAAAACTTCAATTCTAGTTCTGCCCTGATTGACTAATTACCATTCAGCAATTGCCATCTGTTTGAACATAGGGTCTCTCCCAGAATTGGTGGAAACCAATTATCAGATATTGACCTTGTTAATAGCTAACTTCCACTATCTGTTTAAACACAATGCTTTTCCCATGGTTGTTGTGTCTGTTAGAACTGTTCTAATCTCGAATCAACCTACAATTAGCCTTTAGGCTTAGCCTCACAAATAAACAAAGCTTGTTTGGTCTGTTCTTTTCCTTTTACCACAAGCTGTCCCAAAGTCCAGAGTCATTTTTAGCTCACAATTCCCAGTTTGCAACTCCAAACCAAAATCAATGAGGGTTCTAACAATGTAATTAGTAGAATTGATTTGGAGGAGCCAGGGATCTGGTTCACTTGGAGTTCCACAAGGCTTTCGATAAAAACCCATGTAAATTGTTCACAAATAATGATGTGGGTGAGGAAATGAAATATCTCCCAATTTGCAGATGATACAAAGCTGGATGAGAGAGTGAATTGTAGGGAGCATGCTGAGATATTTTGGTGTGATTTGCACAAGTTGAGTATGTGGACAAATGCATGGCAGATGGATAAAAATGAGGTTTTCCACTTTAGGAGCAAAAATAGGAAGGTGAATTATTATATGAATGGTGATAGATTGGGAGAGGATTGCAGTTAGTCCTGGGTGTCCTTGTAGCAAGTAAGTGTGCCGGTGCAGCAGGTGATGAAGAAAGCAAATGATATATTGGCCTGTGTAGTGAAATGATTTTGAGTACAGGACCAGGACAGTTTTAATTGTACAAGGCCATGGTAAGACTACAGTGGTGTATTATGTGCAGGTTTGGTCTCCTTATCTAAGGAAGGATGTTTTGGTTAAGGAAGGAGTGCATTGAAGATTTACCAGACTGATTCCTGGGGTGGCAGGACTGACATATGAAGAGAGCCCAGATCAGCTTGGACTACAGTCACTGAACTTTAGAAGAATGAGGGAGGATCTAACTGATTTCAACAGGGTAAATGTGGGAAGAATTTTCTGATGACTGGGGTGTCTAGGATCAGTGATCACAATTTAAGGATAAGGACTGAATTGAGGGGAAATTTCTTCACCGAGAGAGTGGTGAGCCTGCCACAGAAAGCAGTTGAGGCCAAAACATTGTTTTCAAGAAGTTAGGTACAGTTCTTAAGGCTAAAGGGTATAGGGAGAAAGCAGGAATAGGCTATAGAGTTAAATGACCAGCCATGATCACTCTAATGGTAAAGCAGGCTCAAGGGCCTACTCTGGCTCCTATTTCCTATATTTTTAAGTCCCACCTGGCCCAGGCGTATGTCATAATGTGTCTGAACAGGTTGATTAAAACTGCCAGAGGGTAACAAAAGAGGCAACCTTGCTACAACATGGCAGCCTGCTGGGTTTTTTTGGGGGGTGCTGAGCTTGCAACACTCTGTGGTGAACTTGGGTGTGTATGGGGGAATATGTTCAGTCTTTGAAAACCACTGCACTGACCTACTCCCACCTCTCTTCCCCCCCCGCAAGATTCCTATCCCCTCACCAAAAAAATCACTTGTCTTCCTGTTGCTCCTGATTGATGATGCTGTTGTTCAGTCAGCAGCCCCATCACTGCTCTTCACCAGGGTGACTGCCTCCTGATTAGTTGGCAGCTTAAGGTGAGGTAGGATATTTCTGTCTCATGATCTGATTGGCTCAAGAGCCCGCTGGGTGATGACTTAAGTTCCCAATTGGAGTTCATCTGACGTTATTCCTGTCTGATGTGGAGGTCACCTTATAGACGTCCACCCCAAAAGCTAGGGGGAAAAAAGGGCAAATATTGGCCTGGAATTCAAATTCTGGTTTCATAAGAAGCTCAGTTATATATCCCATGAGTTTCAATTACTATTACCACATAATATCCGTATGATATTTACTTTTTTTCAGAACTAAGTTTTAAATTTGATTTTAACCTAATAAAGTGTTAGAGTAACAGTTAACAAAACAGTGCACTGGAAATTAAATTAAACTTGAAGCTATTTCTTATATTCTGATGAGTTTGTCAACAAAACTTCTTCCTATTTCATTTTCATTAGACAAAAGTGTATTGTAACAATGAAATGGAGAAGAATTCTGTTCTTTAACCCATTTGACAAAAACGTTCCACAAGTACACAATTAATGATTGTACAGTACTTCATAACAAAAATGGAGGAAATGTTGCTGTTTAGATTACTTTGAATTCTGCTTGCATACCAAACCACCTTTAAAACTAAAAATATTCTTTTAAAGTCCTATGTTATTCAAATTATTGGGACTTTGCTGACTCTATTCTTAAAATTTTGCAACTAATTGAGTATTGATCAATAGTCTGTTAAGCAATGTATGAACTTGTGTGTCCCAATTAATCTATGTTTAAACATTATTTTGATTAATCAGCTTGCTTATCAGTGGCTGGTTTGGGAAGGCTGTTCTATTTAATTATTGTTATGTCCAATGCACTCTGAATTTGTCTCGTGGAATCAGCAGTATTTACAAGGACCTTTCTGAGGGTTCCATTTCTTTATACACAGATTGCTGAAAATTCACTGTGCTTCAATGGAAATTGGATCAGTGGTGCTAATTAACTTCCTTCTAAACATGTTCACAATTCAGTTGATGAAATTCCCAAGCGATTTAATGTATTTTTACTAATATAAACAATGTTTAGTTGCACTGTCAACCTTAGCATCCTCTCATAGCTAGAATGGTTGAAATTATTTGGCTGCTCACTGCTTCAAGAAAAGCAAATCTACTAAATAAACAAAGAGCAAAGAATTGTTAATTTTGTGTTTTAAGAATTTGATTAGTGCGTCTGCTTTTTTTATAGCATGATACAACTAAAAGTGTTTAGGAAGCAGGTGAGGTCAAGCATTTGCATTCAAAACCAAAATAAAAATTCAGTATTCTAAGAATATCTTTCTTTCTGTGTTTAACCTGGCTAATGTGGTTTTACTCTTTTCTCAGTAAACCTAAACTATTCTCCAAAAGCCTGGCTTAGTGTTCTGTGCAGAAATAAGGAAATCCTTCTTGGGGTAAAGGGGACTGAATTTACTTATAATAAACAGGTTTTGGGACAAGTCAAGGTGGCAGAGAGAGAAATTTGAGACAAATGTATTCAGTGCTGATATTATACTATAACTGACAATTTTTGTGCGAACAACTTAAAAGTATTTTCAACTTGTACGATACAGTCTCATGGGTAGGATTGTTTGACCATTTTTGCACAAAGACTTTGAAAAATAATGAAAAACATCTTGGCTGGTTATGGCAGCATCTGTGGGGTAGATGGTGCAAAAACGGAAAGAAGCTCTCTAAATAGGGTCAAAGACAGATGAGCTAGCCGGAGCCAAGGAGAATGTGATAGGGTGGTGAAAAGAAACAAAAGATCTGCCGAGAGCAGACGTGCTCCTCATTGTAAACAGAAATTAAGAAAATAAGATGAAATATAAAAAGAAAACAAATTGAACATATTAGTCTGAACTCACTATTGAGTCCTGAAGGCTATAAATTGTCTCATCGAAGCAACAGTTTCAGATTACAATATAATGCAGTGTGCCCCAAAATAAGTTAGCATCTTTCATTGATTATTTTTGTATTATTCATTGAGTCATACAGCGCAAAAACAGACCTTTGGCCCAACTTGTCCGTGCGATCAGTTTCCCAAACTGAACTAGTCCCATTTGCCTGCGTTTGGCCCATATCCCTCAATGTTTCCTATTTGTGTACCTATCCAAATGTCTTTTAAATGTTGTAAGTGTACTTGCATCTATGATTTTCCCCTAGATAGTTTTCTGATTGTACTGAGTGAATCTGAATATGTTGATTGCTATGTGCTTAATGATCAATGACAGCCTTTCCTTATCTAGTGGCAACATGGTCTACCTTCAGAAAGATGCATCCTTACCAATCTGCCAGTTTCAGATACATCTATCCATGACCGTATTGGTAAGAGTGACCTCTGCACAGTCCTTGTGGAGATGAAATCCCACCTTCACATTGAGAATACTCTCCATGTTGTGTGGAACTAACCCCATGCTAAATGGACAGAATTCAAACAAATCTAGAAACTCATGACTAGGCATCCATGAGGTACTGTGGGTCATCAGCAGCAGCAGGATTGTACTCTAACACAATCTGCACATCATGGCCCAGTACATTCCCCAATCTACCATTACCTTTAAGCCAGGGGATTAACTCAGGTGCAATGAAAAATGCAGGAGGACATGCCAGGAGAAGCACCAGGAAAACCCAAAAAAGTGTTAACGTGGTGAAGCTACCAAACAGGACTACTTCTGTGCCAAACAGCATAAGCAGCAAGTGATAGACAGAATTAAATGATCTAACAACTGCAGTTCATGCAGTTGTGAATGGTGGTGGACACTTAAGTAACTCACTGGAGGAGGAGGAGGCTCCACAAATATCCCCATCCTAAATGTTGGAAGAGCCCTACACATTAATGCATAAGATCATGCATGGTCCTCAGCATCACAGATACCAGTCTTCAGTTTGATTCACTTCATTTCGCTTCACTTGATATAAGAATGTCCAGAGGCATTGGATACTGCAAAAGTTAAGGGCCTTGCCAACATTCTGGCAGTAATACTGAAGACTTGTGCTCCAGAACTCGTTGCTCCCCTAGCCAAACTGCTCCAGTACAATTACAACACTGGCACAGAATCCCTGCAGTGCGGAAAGACCACACTGACCCTCTGAACAGCATCCCACATAGACTCAGTCCCTACACCCCCCTCAACTTATCCCTGCATTTACCATGGTTAATCCACCTAGCCTACATATCACTGGACACTATGAAGCAATTTAGAATGGTCAACCCACCTAACCTCCACGTCCAGACAATGTGGAAAATTGTCCTGATATGTCCTGTACTCAAGAAGCAGGACAAATCCAATATAGCCGGT